TTAATATGAAAAAGTGCCTCAGTTTTTATATGGAAGTACTTACTATACTTTTGAGATGATTGTCCAGTATGTGTATTCCTTGAGGACCTGAAATTGCTAACCAAACTTCTAGTTAGTGACAACTGTGAGGAGAAGAACAGTAGTAATCCCAAACTTCTGGGAGTTTTGATGCTGAGAAAGATGCAATGCTAACAATGTATTGACATTGTTTTTATACCATGAAGAATATTACCACTGCACAGAGGTTAGGAATTGAAGACCCACTTTTCTAAAGGATGTGATTTATCCCATGTGTTTAAGATACTACTGTGCTATCCCTACTGCTTCAGTTTTCTCTTTTAATGTGCCTCCTGAGACCCATGACTATTCAAATGGCTTACGGAGAACTGTCACCATCTGCAGTGGGTCAGCTTCAAGGTTTGGGCAGATTAGGTCTGCTAGCTCTATGAAAAACCACATGTGCAGGTCTGCATCCATCCTTTAATTTTTTGGAAGCTATGCAGAAGCAGTTGTTAAGCAGCAATTTCAATTTGATTGGTGGGTTTATAATGTGTTATGAAAAGAAAAATAATGATATTACTGTTGATGCTGAAGCAAAACCTACAAATAAATGAATCTTTTACCAAAAGTCTGTCTATGGAGTTGTAAAGATCAGAATTCAAGGATCCATAAGACATGCTTTCAAAACACTGAATGTAGGTATTAATTAATTTCCTGTAGCTATGACTTTTGAAAAGTTTAACAAAAATGCAACTCCAAAAATATTTTTATTGAAGACTGTTTAATAACACCTTCTTCGTATACTTTAAAGTTTTGGCCTGGTGTCAGGAGGAAGTCATACTTGACCAACCTGATAGCCTCTGTGATGAAATGACTGGCTTGGTAGATGAGTGGAAGTCAGCAGATATCGTCTACATTGACTTCAGTAAGGCTTTCAACAATGTCTTTCTTAAGATACTCATGGAGAAGGTGATGAATTATGGGCTGGATGAGCAGACAGTGAGGTAAATTGAAAACTGATCAGTGGAACAAAGTCTAGTTGAAGGCCAGTAAATAGAGGTGTACCCCAGGAGTCAAAACTGACTCCAATACTGTTCAACATCTTCATGAACAACCTAGGTGGTATGGCAGAGCATACCCTCAGCAAGTTTACTGACGATGCAAAACTAGGAGGAGTGGCTGATACATCAGAAGGTCATGCTGCCATCCAGAGAGGCCTTGCCAGGCTGGAGAAATGGGCCAACACAAACCTCAAGCCAATCAACAACAGGACGTGCAAAGTCCTGCACCTGTGGAGGAACAAGCCCATGCACCAGTACATGCTAGGGTCCTCCTAGACTGATAGCAGCTTTGCTGAAAATGCCCTGGGGTTCCTGGTGGACGCCAGGTTGAACATAAGTCAGCACTGTGCCATTATGGCAAAGAAGGCCAGCTGTGACCTGGATTGCAATAGGACTGTTGCCAGGGGGTCAAGGGAGGTGATGCTTCCCTCAGCATTGGTGAGGCCACACCTCGAATGCTGTGTCTAGCACTGGGCTTACCACTACAAGAGAGATGTGGACTTACTGGAGAGAGTCCAGCTAAGGGTCACGGAGATGATTAAGGTACTGGAGCGTCTCTCCTGTGAGGAAAGGCTAAGAGATCTGGGACTGTTCAGTCTGGAGAAGAGAAGGCTTGTGAGTTGACTTCATGAAACTGATTCTTATTGTTTCCGTAAACTAAATGTCAGGAAAAAGGTGTAGAAATCAAGAAGGCAGAAGCAGTTCTGACTGCTGACCTGAATGTGTATTTGCGACACCAGCTCCAGAATAGGAGGCAATCAACTATTCTGCATTACTAATTACCGAGTTGGAGTTGTAGGTAATGTGTAGAAGTTCTGAAAAGACAGTCCTAATTCATAGTTATAGTGCTAGAAATGATCAATTACTAAGCTTGCCTAGACATCTGATGAGCCATCCAAATATAATTTAGACTGGTGGGGTGATCAAATGTTTTGATTCAATTTCTGAATGAAAATGGTATGGAAGTTGGGAACATCTCAGCAAGTTGATATCAGCCACCAGAAGACAAGGCATTGAATCTTGAGCACTCATTTTCCTCCTCCAATGAAAAAGGTTGCCTACTCCTGATCATTAACTATCTCAGTTTGGAGCTACCTGAGGTCTCAAACTCTGCCTGTTGGGTAGAGCAGATGGTTTGGTCAGCAGGCTTGACTATATAGGTGCAAAAGAGTCCTCTGAGATTCTCAGGAAAAGCAAGGGAATAAGTGATAAGAGTTGGGATGCCCTCAGAAACTCACAGGAAGGCCTTCTGAAGCCAAGCCTTAGGTGATCTAACATTTTGCTTGCTCATACCAAACAGTTATGGTAGCAACAAACTAAGAAATAGGTGCTGTAATAGCTCAGTCAGTTATGGCTGACAGTCTTCACCAATAAACTCCATCATTACCTTTCTTGAGTAAAGTTGCAGCCTTGCCATTAGGTAGATTAGTTTCAAAATGTCCCATTTATAAAAATAACTTTGTTACAGTCTTTCTGAGACTTATAATTGTTGGGGATTATTTTGAAAAACAAATACTACTTCTTGTGGACTCCTAGACCTTTATTGCAACCACAAAAGTTGCAATAGGTAGCATTACAGGTAGTTTGAAAAGTGAGATCAGAAATTAGGAAGGAGGAGGCATAAGTTACTGAAAGTGACTTTGTACAAAAAAGAGATCTAGTTGGGGGAGAAGAAAAACAAAGAACCATGAAAACAGGTAAAATTTATCTTGAAAGAAAAGACTGACTTCAAGGAAGAATAAAGATGTGCTAAAGAAACAGTCAGTATTTCATCTCAGATGTTCTCATCTACTTAATCTAAATACCTTAACTTCTTTATTTCTTCTCCATGTTCCCAAATGTAGAATTACTTTGATTATTTGTATTTTAATTCTTAATTACTTCTCCAGAATTTCTGAAGTGGTGGGTGAAAGAAGAAATATGCCCAGTAAGTCTTTCCTCACTGATTTCAACACTAAAAATATCAGTCTGTCTGCTACTACTGAAAATCCTTTCTACCCATATGTTTATGTTTAAAGCCCTTTATAAAGTGACTTTTAATAACATATCATTCAATATTTATAGGCCAACATTCAAGTTGCTCCACTGGAACACTCAATTTTTTTCAAGATATTGAAGCTAATTATTAATTTCATAATACATTTCATTTCCTTACTGCAAAGGAAAGCTAAAGCTAATCAAGAAAAGCAGGTAAAATTGAAGCCATTTGAACTAATGGAGTTAAAGATGGCTCTAAGTCAGTAATTCACTAGAGGAATTCCGATGATGTTCCAACCCCAGAAGCTTTAAACTCAAGCACAGGGACCAAATTTTGGTGATGTATGCCCTCAAGAAAATAATTTTCATATGGAATATATTAGTATATTTCTAAATACTAAATATGTATAAATAATATATTTGGAACATGAAAGGAAGAGGAGAGTAAGCTGTTTGTTAAAGAAATGGTAAAAAATGTTTGTTGACTGAATGGAGGGAGAGAGCTGTAATTTTGACTTAGTTGTGAATGCAGATGCTTCCCTTTAGCAGACTAAGGACAAATATTTATCTTATTTTTTTGAGTTAGAAATGAAAATTGTTTCTATCTTTATTTCTACAGCTCCTGGTTTGTGGATCTATTCTGTGACTATACAAAAATCAGCCATTTATTTCATTATTTTATTTCCTACTTATTTTCCCCTCTTATCTATCTGTATGATAGACTAATTTCCTGACTTGTCTATTATAACTTTCTACCTTCTGCTTGATCTTTTCCTTCCCATGTTCTTCTACTAGCTTTCTCTAGCAAAATCCTTATGCTTCCTTTTCAATGTCAGGTCTTGCCTTTGAATGACTTTCCTGATACCACTGTCTATCATATTCCTCTGTCCTCACAACAACTACTTTTCTATTTATGTTGTATATTAAGCAAAAAAGCACAGTTTATTGATTACTTTTTTCCTAAATATATGAGCACTACTGATTAATTTCTGTGTAAATATGTAGCTGACTCACACTGGCAAATGTGTATAATAAATAAAAATAAAATAAAACAAAATACTTATACTAAACTAAACTAAACTAAAACATGTTTTGAGAAATCACACAAATGTAATTTTTGCCTTTTTCCCATTTGAATCCTTCTCCATGATGTCACATCATATATTCTGTAATAAGGACTGACAAATCTGAGAATATTTTATAAGTATTTGATCTCAGAGTAGCACAAATAATCTACCTATGCTATTGTGCACTAAGGTATCACTGGAAACAGCATTCTTTTTGAAATGAGAATTTGATTGAGCCCAGTAGATGAATGTCCCTCAGGCACTTTCAGTCAGTAAGAAGTTAGAGTGGGTTTAAATTTGTCTGAAGATAGAAGGCTCCATATCCCTTAAGCTATTGCACTGTCTTAATTTTCTCAATTTTTTTGTCACCTTTAGATAATCCTAGTTTGATATTAGGAGATGTTGAAGAGAGAGTATAACAGCTCAAGAACATCACTACATCTTGAGAAGCTACAAGGCAGAAGGGATAGTATATCTTCTACAATCTGTCTTTATGAACTATTCTGATAGCAAACTTTTTCTCTCAAGCACTAAGTATTGCTGTAAGACATGTTTTATTAGTGGGTGGTTTGAGTTAGAGATGGGCATATGTACCCCCATATGGTTTTATTTATCCCAGAAGGGTCTTTTGCCTGATGGCTGCAGCTGTAAAGGAGTAGATTTGATGGCCTAGACAGTCCCTTTCTGTTCCTAAATTTCCAAGTTCCACATTTTTCTGCATAAGGGAGAATATACTTAAATGTTATATTAGCTGAGACAAAAAGCAATTATCTCTGTATGTAGGTACAGGCTATATTGTGCATTTTCTTTCTTCCTTGTGATACACCCTATCCTCTTAACCAGACTAGGCATGGGGTGAAATGCACACCCCAAGGACCAAAATGTTACCTCTCACCTGGCCGATGTGCCTTTGGAACTGCCATGTTCATCACCCGCCCTCCATCCTGAGGTTTGGGAGGGGATGCGGTGAACCTGCAAATCCCCGACTCTGACGGCGTGCTTGAGGTCAGACTGTCAGTGTAGTCATTAGTCCCTGCCGTGAGCTGCTCTGATGATGTGTCTGATATGAAGCATTCTGTAATGGTGAACTTGGCATGTCTCAGCTGCTCTTCCATTTTTGCGTGCTCATATGCTCTTGCTAGCTCTTCATATGTTGAGGAGGCACTTTCTGTGGAGACCATGCTGCTTCTTGCTCGATCTAAACACCAGAAATATAAATAATGAGAGAAAGAAAATATCTGCACAATACCTTTTAGATAAAAGCTATGAACTTGATAGTATTTCTTAATAGAATGCAGGGCCCTTGAAATTATCAAGGTGAATTAAATGTGCCTGTTTCACTCTAAGTGTCTACACAACTTCAAGTTTAGTCAGTTACTTGATAATTACAGATACTCTAACGTGAAGTCTTATTCTGCTAGCAGCATTATGTGGCTTAGCATTAAATTTGTGGTTTAGAAGAAACAATCTTTAACACATGAAAAAGGTTAGCTGGGTGGTTTTTTACAAAAAACAATTTATCTAAAAGATAAATGCCTTAAAATGTTAGAAATCCACAAAACAGATTTAACAAAATAAGGAACAGCTTAATTACATTATCTTTTTAATGCATCTCAGAAATATTTCTGTGAGGTGATGTTGAGGTGAGAAAAGATAGTTATTCTGTACTTGTCTCAATCTCTTCTGTTTTTTGGGTTTTTTTTTTGAGAAAGCCCAGAGGAAAAAGGTCAAATATAAAGGCAGCGTCTCTCAGACATTGTCTCTGGCTGTCTCAGAGAGCAGGTAAAATGCTAACTCATTTCATATGGAACAAAGGTCTTGGGAAAGCAATACTGCTTGGTAGCTACCAGCCTGTAGTCATTAAGGTACTTTTTTCAATGCTGCTGAAGCTAATAGGGGCTTCATATTTAACACAGACTGCGACAACCTACAAGCTGTTCTTTTCTGTTGATGAGTGTCTGAGAAAAGTCAGTATTTCTTAAACAAGCAGTATTATTGAAGATGTAAATTGATACTGATACACTAAAAAAACATTCTGGAAATGCAGTGCTTATTTCTGTGAGGACAAATCACTGGTTTGTTGCACCTATAGCACTTCTACTTCTGTGGACTGGAAGACCAGAGGACTTTCAAAAGTTCCTTGGGCAGAAGTCATGTTTCATCACAAGATCTGTACAATTTCAGACATTGTTGGTGATTTTATGACTCTATGTTCAATAAACAGGGACAACGTAATAGCTAATTCATAAAAATGGGACTCCTATAGCAGCCAGAGGCAACTGTGTTGTTATTGCAAATCTTTGTCTTTTTTATTGTATGCTAGGATCCTTGCATCAGTTTTCATTGTACACAAAGAACAACAATCCTGCCACTTGTAAATCGGACCATGCATTATTTAAAATGACAAGTACTTCTACAATATATTGTAACTTGCTTAAGATTTTGAGCTGGCCAGAACTTAAATAAAGGCTTTTTTTAGGTTCCCCCCCTCCCCCCACCAGAAAACATCATTCTGGTTTTCACATTTGATTTGTAAATCAGATCAAAAGAATGTCTTTCGCAGTTCCTGAGGAACTGGAAGCTCCTGTAAGACTACAGTTACTCAGTGTCATATATCAATGTCTGTAAATGTCATGGTGATGCAAAGGAACCAGTCTGGTCCATGAAGATCAAGACCTGCAGCTTTCCATATCCCATGCCCTGGGGAGACTATTCCAGGAAGACTCTGCTTGAACATCTACTTTAGATTTGATGAAAGTTCATCCAAGCCCAAGATGAACATCATGAAACCCAGATTTGACTCAGATTCATCAGAAAATTTCTAATGGCCTCTAGTCGGAACATCTGAACTTAGTTACAGTTATGATCTGCTGCAATACATTTCTCCTAAGCTTTCTAAACCTGGAATTGTTTTGGTAAGAGGTGCAAAATTCTGCCAAATATCAACTAGATTCAGAAATCTGAACTCCATATTGGAAAAGTGATCAAATGTGCACATTAGGTCAATCGATTCTTAAAAACATAATTTGAGTACATCTACTATAATGCTTATTTGGAAATGTTAAACTTCTGAAGTACTTAGATTAAACTGACTCTATTTTTTTCCCAGAAACCAAGTGGCATAATAAAGCTACATTTTGGCACAAGAAAACCTTTCTTGAATATGATCTAAAGCTTGCTATCCCTTACATAAATCACTATGTGTTCAAGGGTAGACACAGACTAGGAAAGTAGCCATGTTGAAACATAGTTTATGAAGTCTGGTTACAAAATTGCATGTAGTTTTCTATTAAACCACACAGCAAATTGAATTCTCTGCCCTTTGTCACATGCATTGGAAAATATCCTTGGGTGACAAAATGTTGGGACACATGCAAGTGCACATGAAATATGGAATATCTACAAAAAGCATTTTTGAGATAACATTTGCTATTTATATTTGCATCTGTATAGCTATTAGAGTTAATCCTTAAAGCCTTATGATAATTCTACCTGAATAAACCAGAATGAAGTTTGTCAGCTGGCTAGAGGTTAACTATTGAGTGCCATTAGCCCATGGAGACAACATAGGGGTCTGCAAGTTTAAGAGGATGAATTGTGAAAATATGAGAATATCAACCTATAAAATACTGAATGTAAGAGAAGTCAGCTGCCTGTTCTTATACAGAGAATAAAAACAGTCATACTAGTTTTCATGGTGAAAGGCTAGTCACATTTACTGTTTTGTAGCTCTAATACATAGCTTTTTCATGTGACAAACACTTTCCCTCTAAACCCAGGATAGAAGGTAGGCAATTCCTTCCAAAGAGGCCAGAATAAGCCTGGATTCTCTTTTGTCAGGCATACCTTTGAATAGTATTTTACCTCATATTTAAACTTTATTAGATTTGCTTTGTGACTATTCTGCATTTACTCATTTATTTGCCTTTTTTGTCACTTGTTTGGTGTAGGGCAGAGGAGAAAGCTTTTTTATTTAGAATTGCATTTATAATATGAAGACATCAAGAAGAGATGACTGTGGGCAGAATACATATTCAGTGTTTCTCCACTTATCATCTAAAGGAATAAAACTGATGGTGTTTCTCAGGAAAATCCATTTGCTGCTGCAGTATTCAGTGATATGAATGGATTTTGACTTGGACTCTAATTCCATATTGTTCCCTCTCATTTTTTATGCTTAGAATAAACCCTGTGAACATATTATCTGAATGGGAAAAGGAAAATACTAACTTCAGTGTAGCTCAAACCTTAAAGCTATTCCACTTATGACTCAGGCATGTTCTTGGTTGCTAATACTGCCCCTTCCTGGTCAGTGCCATTTCATGCAGCAAATTCTCCTACTTTTTCCTTCAGTTACAGGAAGTACATCACTTCAGCTACAGGAAGTACATGACTTCAGCTACAGGAAAAATTACCACCTTATCTTTCAAAGTACTCCAATGTGGCATGAGAAACCACAGGCACAATATTTGTTATCATTAGCATTATATGCATTGGTGTCACCCCTTATAAACAGCCTAAAGAAAAACACCTTAGCAAGGAAAAAATAATGGCACCTAAGCATCAAATGAATCCCATCAAGAAGGTTACTGCAGGTAGTACTGTCCTGTTTTCACAGTGTAGCCCCACAGAGAGCTCGATACCTGTGTCCTGTGAGGGACTGACACTGTAGCTGTCACTTTCCTTGTCCACTGATCCAGCTGGCCTGGGAGTGGGCAGCCTCCAGTCTGTCGTGAGGGTATGAGCTGATATGGTCGGGTGAGGTCTGTTGAGGGTCCACTGACTGGCGTAACGGTTGCGAGCTGTGGGTCCGGTTTTGGCACTCCTCCTTGTGGTAGGATCTGTGATGGATAACAGAAAGGATCTTTGCCACTAGGCTCTTGAATTGATAGAGAAATAAGTCCTGTCAGAAGGGGATGGCCAACAACTGAAATAATGTTGGTTAAAAAAACCCAAAACACAAAACATTCTTTGTGGGGGAAAAAAGTGAACAGTGAAAGTGCTGCTCGTTACTGAACTGCTAACACTTTTTTTGAAATACCCTCTTTCTAACAAAACCATATATTTTAAAAAGGGTACAAACTGAAGAGCTGAGAGCCCCATCAATCTCCTGTTGACACATTCATTAACCCTATACTCCAACATAGGCAGTTCTCCAGTACCAAACCCACTTCAAGATGTGAAAGAGTACAAATCCAGTAGATCCACTTGGGGATTTAATACCATATCTCAAGTGAAGTCTAAAGTAAATTACCAGCATAGATGTGCCCTCAGAAGCACCCTACACCAGGTACCTGCTCTCAGTTTGTAAAAACATTTGCTCAAAAATTTGGTGATGTAATTTCATATTCTGGATATTTTACTAATATTTTTACTATACTACTTTATGAATCAGCTACAGATTTCCTATTTTTTTAGTAAGTATTCAAGACATAAAACATAACCCGTAATAGTGTTATCAGAATTTTACGAGGAACAGGATCATAAATATTTTACTATTAAAAAAAATTAGTAAATAAATACAATCTCTCAAACTATAAAAATTATCAGCTACTTGTTTAAGGACAAAAATGTTTTAGTTTTTTATTATCCTAGAGATAATATAGTGACTAAGGGAGTAAAAGCAAACTATCTTCTGAAACTGACCTCCCTAACTTTGTTAATAAATAATTCTTTTTCAGAAGTGAGGCTTGTACTCCCTAATAAAGCAAGTGGAATAGAAAAATCATTATGTGGCAAACAGAAAGTGACTAAATCAGCACTGAAAGATTTCTCTTCGAAGCTTCTGAAAGGGTGTTATGAACAATAGAGAGAAAGGGTATTAAAAATGAAAAATTCAAATCTATGCAAATGTTCTTTGACATTCAAATGGTGAAGCTGTCAGTCTTTGAGGTAAAAGCAATTTAAAGAAAAAAATAACAAACCAGATAATAACTCTGAGCATTGCTTCTGTCTAAGCATTCCCAGTAAGAATTTGTAGTCTGCTGCTTAGAAGAAAATTATTTATTTACAAATACCAGCTATTGTCTGATGCTTCTTCTATTTCACATCTTCGCCCTACAGAAGTGGAAAAATACGAACCTGGTGCCATTGATAATTGATCCTCCTGGTAGCGCAATACATAGCTGCCTCACATGGATAACTTCCAAAAATGCACTTGGCACAATGTGACCAGCCTGTCAGTATAAACCACTGCTTGTACCAGCTGTGGAAAGTTGGCACATGGCTGTCATGCAGCCAGAAGTGAGTCTCGTGCCTGCTTTGAGGGCAGACATGAAGGACAGAAGGAGAGCGTTCGTGGGAAACCTTTCGGAATGATGCTGGGGCTGCTTGGTCTGGAGAAGTATCATATACATCAGTGTATATAAACACCTGAAGGGAAGGTGCAAAGAGGACAGAGCCAGGCTCTTTTGGTGGTGCCCAGTGACATGGCCAGAGGCAATGGGCACAGGTGAAACATGTGAGCTTCCCTCTGAACATCAGGAAACACTTTACTGTGGGGGTGGCTGAGCACTGTTACAGGTCACCCAGAAAGGTCGTGGAGTCTCCATCCTTGGAGCTATTCAGAAGTGCTCTGGGCATGGCCCTGGGCAACTGGATCTAGCTGATATTGCTTTAAGCACAGGAGTTGGACTACCCAGTGCCCAGAGATCTCTTCCAATATCAAATGTTCTCTGATCCCATGACCCAGTAGGCATTTTTCAGCAATTTGAAGAAGGCAGGAGACCCTGCTGCCAGCACAGAGGAGGTCAGTGCTGGTTCTGCTGAGCCATAGCTCTGCATCAGCTGTGCTGAGCCTGCATATAATAGAATCATAGAATGTGTTGGGTTGGAAGGGACCTTTAAAGATAATCTAGTCCACTCCCCCTGCAGTAAGCAGGGACAATGTTTCTCGATCTGGTTGCTCAGAGACCCATCAAGCCTGACCTTGAATATCTCCAGGGATGGGGCCCCCATTACCTCTCTGGGCAACCTGTTCCAGTGATCTACCACCCTCATAGTGAAGAACGTTTTCCTAATATCCAACCTAAATCTACCCTTTTCTAGTTTAAAACCATTACCCCTCTTTGTATTGCTACATGGCCTTGTGAACAGTTCTTCCCCAGATTTTTTATAGGCACCTTTCAGTTCCCCAGGGCTCAGTTTTAGGGCCAGTCCTGTTTAACATCTTTATCGATGATCTGGATGAGGGG